ACATCTATAAATAATTTGTCAAGAGTGTTAAGGAGAGAATCTAGACTACTCAAGGCACTTAGAGAACTTGGATGCAGGGACTTATGGTTCCTATTGCTGGCTTTCTCAGTGATTTGCTGCTTGACCCATGGTAGTTTCCTTGGTATGTTTATATGACAACTTTTCAGTCATGCAATGGAGATGATAATGTCTATGATGCTTTAGGAACACATGCATTGAAAGGAACAGCAGAAGTATGTCAAAAACAAGCAAATAATTTTTGTTAAGAGCCACTTTTCAGTGGTATTTTCTAAAAAGCAGAAAGTCAAAATGTATTACAGATGAGGTTTCTGTATAGGACACTCTTAATAGCTGAGAGGGTTTGAAATACAGTGAGTTGGAAGTCTGAAACCAAGTAATGGGAGACTCTACTTTGAAATGGAGCTCTTTAATAGATTCCTGAGCTGACTTTTGAGGTATCAAATTAAAATATATACTTGTGCATCTATAGATAATATATGTTTTTGTGCATATTTCATTTAAAAAGTGATTCCCCAAGAAACTCTGTTTTCTCACCGTTCACTCTCTTACACTTTTTACTTGCATTTGACGTATGCTTGGTCCTATTATTGTCTGCATAAATAACCAGTTCCCCCTGTCAAATCTGAAGTTCCAGAGGCTCCCATAGCCCCTCCCTACCTACAACTCCCTAAAACATCATGCCTTACCCTGCCATGCTTATACACACAATCACATATATCACCTCAGCATATAGTTCCAGATACTATGCATTCTGATAAATCCTCAGTCTAGCACTGCCGTGACATCAAAATATGCATATTTACACATTCACAGTCCCAGAAAGATCTAACAACACAGTACTGCCCGTACCAGAGCATTAGAGGTAGCAGGCAGTCTTGTGTAATACTGATGATATAGGAAAAGGAGATTTGCTGGTAGTCCAAGAGACTAACTGATCTAGTTTTAGGAAAGGGTGTAATCACTTAAACTTCTTCAGATCCTCCAGATCTAAACACATTCTTCTCCTGGTCATTTGCATTTCAATGATTAAAATATCTCAGTGAATAACACAGGAAAGAGGTTAGAAAAACAACGTCTGGGGTCCAGTGTATACAACATCAGATAATGCCCTGTGCTGTAGGAGCCCCTTCCAAGAGTGCTCTGGCACTGCAGGACCCACATTTTGGGCCCCAGACTGGAATCCAAACCCAGCTCACTACACAAGTTACAGGGACAGCTGAATATCTCAGAAGGCTAATCTTTTCACATGGATTAGGAAGAAGAGCTGCCCATTACCAGAGGACTAGTGTGGTAATTTTGAATTCTTGTCTAGTGCAATACAGTAATGTGGAGGGCATTTAAGATCTGATTTGATCACACAACCTTCACAAAATAATTCTTCATATAGGGATAGAGGCCTGCCAAATTTCCTTGTATATTCAGCTGCCACTCACAGATGCTTGGAGAAAGATGAGGCATTCAGTTATTGGGAACATATACTGACAATGGCCTTGTCCTCCTTTTTGGTTGAACAGTAGACTCATACCAAACAGACTGCACTCAAAAGAGGCAGAAATTGTGAATCGGAATTCCTTTCAGCTCTTGTATGTCCAGCACTGGAGTCCTGTGTTAATATTTCTCCATGCTCATGCTGTTCAGGGAATTCAGGTCCCTCAGGTTTCCTGCTTCAGGCCCTTCACCAAGTCTCTCCTCATTTCTTAACAACTGTCCTCTCAGGACAGTAACACCAACTGCAATTAAGAGAGGACTACCGGACTGCTAGAGCAATGAATGTAACACCAATAGGACACCACAACTACTCCATACAGAATGGGCAAATGTTATTTTGGGTTGTAGTGCCAAAACTATATTTGTGGACACTGTCAGTGAGTGCTTCATGAAACCACTAGTTAGGGTGAAGGAAAAACAGCATTGACTTAACCTCGTTCAAATACAGCTGTGGACATAGTTGAAAATAAAGCAGTTTAAGAATTGACCTATGACAATACATGTAATATAACATCCTTGGAAGAGTTAAAATAGCCCCAAAAATCCAATATGATTGTGTTGATAAAGCACATAGAAATAAGGAATCAAAGGGAAGCAGTTCAGTTTTAGTAGACTGAAAACCACTTAATGATACCATAGTAGTGGTCCAGGGCAAAGGCATGCTAAGTATCAGAAAAGAACTGATAAAAGGCAACAGTCACTTCGTCATAGAAACCAATCAGGTTAGTCAAGCATGATTACTTTCCCTGGTAAATACATGTTGGCTGTTCTCGGTTATCTTCTTGTCCTTCACATCCTTAGCAATAAATACCAAGAGGACATATTCTGTGATCTTTCAAACAACTAAAGTGAAATTGAGCAGCTTACAGTTTCACTGATCCTTCTTCCTGCCTTTTTTAAAGATGGGCATAACATTAGCTTTTTTCCAGTCATATGGGACCTTCCCTGTGTGTCATCATTTTTCACCAATGATAAACATAGGCCTTGTAATTACACAGGGGAACTCCTTCAGCACCCTTTGATGAGTCACACCCAGTGCCATGGATATGAATACATCCAGCTTCTCTTAGTAATTCCAGCTTCACTAAGTAGCAGGTGGACTAGACAGAAGCAAGGACTTCCCCACTGTTGGTTATCCCTTTCCTTCTCAAGCTCTGTTGGAAGATGCAGATGCCTGGGGACAAGCTTTGCCTATGGAGACTGATGCAGAAAAGGTGCTGCATATTTAAGTGCTTTCTGTACCATCTCTCACTAGGTGGACTCCCACATTCAGTGGTAGACACATATTTTCTCTGAACTCCCTTCTGCATCACCCATGCAGAACTATTATGCTTAATGTCCCTAAGCGCCCAAGCAATGTTTTATATTCCTATTTGGTTTCCAGTCCTTGCCTCCACCTCTTGTATACTTTTGTGTTTCAGTTCATCAAGAAGTTTGCTGCTTAGCTAAGATGAAATTCCCAGTCTTCCTGCAGAGCAAGGTAGTTTGTTCCTGAGGTCTCAATAATTTTCCTTTAAACCCTAGCCATCTCTCCTGAGCATTCTTCTCTTTCACAGCTGCTGCCAAGCATGTTCTAACTAGCAGTTCCCTGAATACAATGAATTCTGGTCTTATGAAATCTGGAGTGCTAATTCTGTTGCTTACCTCCCCAGCTTTCCACTAGATTCTTCACTCAGTCATCATGCGGTTGCTACAGCCTGAGCTGCCATCTGGGATCATATTTATCACTAGTTCATCCCTGCTTCCAGTACTCAGCATTGCCCGTCCAGTATTTACATTAGGATATTGTCAGTAGTACATCTAAGAACTTCCGGCATTCCTTGTCCACTGCTGTTGCCCTCCCAGCAGATGTCCACATGACTGAAATCCTCCCTAAGGCAGAGGAGACTTCTGCCTTTCTACTAGTTGTAGAAATCCCCCTTCACTACTTTGTCTTGGTCAGGTGGTCTATAACAGACCCCATCACAACATCCCTCATGTTCCTCCCATCTCTGACAGCATGTCTACAGTTTCACACTGGAGCTTTGCACAATCAAGGAGCACTTCAACATAAAGCATAAATGCTCCCCATCTTCCCTGTCTATTCCTCCTAAACAGTCCATACTGTCCCATGACCATGTTCCAGTAGTGCACACTATCCCACCATATCTCCATGATTCTGACCATATTCCCCTTCTCCCTTGCAAAATTCTTACATTTGCAACTATTCCTCTGTCACTTCTGGGCTTAAGTCCTCTTCCCATGATGAAGCTGATTTCACACCCTTGTCATCAGGTTAGTAGTCTCATTGCAAAGACCTCTTTCCTTCTTAGTCCTTAAATACAGATGTCCAAAAAACTAGAGGAACTCAAGGATGAAGTTGGTAAGCTTCCAAACATGGTGTGGAAGCTCCTACTTAAAAATCTATTTGGATATCACAGGACTGCCAGGTGACTAATGTAATCCCATGGTGTTAAAAGGGCTTATGGGGAAATCAAGGGAACTACAGTGCAGTAAGGCTGATGGCTATACTGGACAAATCAGTGGAAATTATAATATAGAACAAAATTAACGGACACAGGAAAAAGTGACAGTCTTTCACTTCCCCACTTTCAAGGGAAGTCTTACTTCACAAACCTGCTTGCTTCTTTGAAGGCCAGACAAGGCATGTAGATTTAGCTATCAAGACTGCATCTGTAATGCTAAATAAATCTGCTCCTGAGTGCAGTCTCTGGTATCAGACAAAATGGTGCTGGATGCCTTGCAGCCAGCCCTCAGTGCTTGTCATCATCAGAATTGTCTGGCTGCATCAGCACTGCATAACCCTTGGCTTGGGTGTCTGCTGTTTAGCAAATGCTTACCTTCCCTTTCACACCAACTAAATAAAGTATAAAGCTGTAGCCTCTCCCCTGAAGTTTTTAATAGGTGACATTAAACAATGGTATGGAGGGAAAATTGTAAACTGCAGCACTGGCATCTGTGTGCACATTATTCACAAAAATGGAGCATTAGCTGTCAGAGCAGTTTTCAAAGGGAAAACCCCTTACCCTTTGGACTAGATTTGGAGGGATTAGAAACTGAGAAGGAAATTGTGAGAAAATAGATAGAAAAAGACTGGGAGGCCAACATAGGAAGTTCAGGGGAACTTTCAGAAGAAAACAGGACCTAAACTTTTACCCTTTCCTCCAGATGTTCTTTCTGAAAGATAAAGATTATATTAATTCATATTTGCAGGCAAACTAACTTGAAGAATTTTCTTCCACAGATTTAAAAATCCTGGTCATATGGACACTCAGGTATCTTGTAAAAAGCTCTGGGATACACACTCTGGATTTGTTTTAATTCATAGAGATTATCAATCCCACCCAAGTGATAAATTTCTGTGACATGGTCTATTGGGCGTTCCAGCTTCTTGCAAAGGAGTACTCTGTAATTTGAATTACCGGATCCAGACTCCATACAGATTTAGCTCCACAGTTCTCAGTGAGTTAGGCCACAGAAAACTGGCCAATTTCCTCTGTCCCAGCATGGGACAGCCAAGACAACACCTGTCCTTGGGAAGAGGGATCTGCTGAAAGAGGCAGCAATGTCCTGATGGAAAACAAAGAGGGAAATGGATACTGCCAGCCATTGACTTTCTGCTACTTCTGTTTCCATCCCTACAGGGCCTGGAGTCCACTAGGACTAGAAGCAAACCACAGCACAGTCAGAAGAGGCAGAATGAGAGAAATCCCTGGATACAGATTGTCCTGCACAGACATACGGTGTGGGCAAAACGCTGGAGTGATGACATCCAGGCATGCTGAAAACAGATCCCATCCCACTTTCTTTAAGTCCCTACAATGTGATTTCCTCTCCCTTGTGTTCAGTGAGCATGAGCTGGGGAGAAAGAGGGACACTCATGAGCACAGGTGAAGTGTGAAAGTGCTGTCAAAGGCTCTTGAGTTTGTTGCCCAATGCAAACTTCACTCTCCGCTCTGCTTCTTAGAGCAGCATGGTCAGCCTTGTAACCTGTCTAGTTAGAAAGAAATTCCAGGACCAGCATCTCCATGTCATTGTCACAGAACCACCTTCAGGCCTCCTGCTTGGGTCCTCCACTCCTTCCACCCTGGACCAAGCTGAACAGGACCTCCTGGCCAGTTGCAATAACAGGAAAAGAAGCATGGTTGCAAGCCTCTGGCCTCCATTTCAGGCCCATTGGTCTTCTTTTCTGCCCAGAGAGAAGCAACTGAAGCAAACCCAGTTGGACCATGTGGGAATCAACCAGCAAAGTTCAAGAAGGCATCTCCTTGGGGGTGAGTACGTGCTGTGTAAAATGTAACCTTGGCAGCAGTGAATTCCAGTACAGAAAGGGAGCTGAGTTGGTGAGCTCCCATGTAAGTCTTTGAAGGAGCACAGCATCAAGGTCACCCTCACACAGCTCATGCTTTCACAATAGCATTGGGTACCTTTGTTACTCTCATTAGATCCTTTACCCATGCAGTTATCCTAGAGCAGCTGCACCATGGATTTCACAGACATTTTGAGGTGATGTGTTCAAGTCAGGTGGGCAGCCAGTTGGTGGATATCAAAACAGAATGTCCTGATCCATGGAATCTCCCCACCAAATGGAGGGTGCTTTCCGAAAGATAAGTAGTTTCCTCCTTTGCACTGAGCTCGCCCACTCTTTTCATGTGACTTTTCCTGAAGATTGACACCAATGGTATTAAATTTTCACCCCCTGCAAAAGTGGAGAGATTTCATTCACATAAGCAATTAGCAGGATATCTCAAGATGGCACTGATCTCACCCTGTCCCTTCAATGTCATGTCATCAGCAGGTACCCTAGCAGAAGTCTTGGCAAGTTTTCCTCTTGTCCTAAAGGAGCTTGATGCAGAAGAAACAGGGGAGTCAAAGACTGCCTAGGGCAGCAGCCTGCAGCTGTGACCAGGTAAGCCCACCTGTACTGTTTATGGTGCACAGCATGCAATTCATGGTCTTCTCACCCACATGGGATCTGTGAACCTCCTATGTGAGGCCCATAACGCCCATTTAAAAAGAGATCCCTTTGTCATCTCCCCCCCATTAGTCAGCCCTAGGAGGCTGGAGAGAGCTGAGAGCTGCTCAGCTTCTGCTCAGGTAGGAAATCTGCTCTTGTGGATCAATGTTTTCCCTATGATACATTTGTGAAAGTATGCTTTTTTCCTTAGGCTGCTCTGTTATGTTTGGGTTAGGCCATTTATAGTTCTCTAGTAGGCTATGAGATCTTTGATCAGCTTTAACAGCTTTTTTTGTTAAATCTTGCCTCCAGCAGCATAGTGAAGACTCCTTTCATCATCCTGAGAATTTTAGCTGAGAAGTTAAATATTCAAAATTTGTGACTTTTTCCATGTTGTCTACATTGTAGCTTATGGTGAGATGAGCCATCAACTCTCACTTATCAGACAGGGTGAGAAACCCGGGTGGTGAGATAGATCAGATTATTTGCGTTCTACAGAAGCCACAGGGAGCACTGTGCAATCTGAGTTACATGAACAAAGTGTGTGTTCTGCAGAGACTACCAACAAATAACTGGATGCATTTAACAGTGCTTGAGGTTTTTAGGTGGGCTGTTTTTCAGGAGGAAGAGGTCTAATTCAATCCATATTCATACATCTGCATAGACCAGATCCTGAGCAAATAACGCAAACTGAAACCCAGCTGGAGACTAGAGCATGATGCAGATACTTGTAAGGTATTGCAGACAGAAAGCTGATTTTGAACCAGGGTTACTTGCCCTAGTTGATTGCTGATGAGGCCACTAGGTTCTTCTGCAGAGACCTCCCAACAGCTTCTCATTTCTGAGAGTACAGGCAGCAGGGAAAAAATTATTCAGCTTGAGCTAATTTCTTTTCCTGCTTTTATTTCTGCAGGCTCTTTCTATTTAGGATGCTGAGACGCTGCCTTCACCTCTTTCATTTCCCCCATGCCTGCTAAACTGTTTAGCATTATGCCTGGAAGAGTGAATGGCAGCCATTGCCTAAGCCTTCCTCTTAGGTATCAGTTAGTATTTGCAGGAATCTTTCAAAAAGGATGCTGTTTCACCATGGATTGCCTGAATTCACTTCCACCGGGAAATAAGTATTTAGTATCAGTGTCCTTATATTCTAGAAAAAAATATTTTGTTGAGTGCCTTGATTCTGCCTTAAAAACATGCATGGCAATGTGAGACCTAGCTACTAAAAGATCACTTTCTGGTCTAATGCTTTTTCTTGCCAGATTCTGTAACTCATACAGAATGGAATAGTATCCCCCTCAGGATAAATGGCATTATTTTTATTCTGGAATCAGGGTATTAACATATAGCACTTTCCAGGTTAAAAAAAAAAACACCATCACCCCAAAACAACAGAGGCTGGGATAGTGACAGACCCTTTCCCGGGAGATAGAAAAATCATGTGGAATAGAGCTACATTTATGACTCTTCTAGAAAGAATAATGATATAGGATAGATTCTGAAGTTCCCTGACTTGCTCATGATTTTCCCAACAAAAAAGAACTCAAATCGCTCCTTGCAGGATTTTCAGCTTGCAAGTGCTGTGTTGGTCATGCTGTCATTATGGTAGGGCCTGCCTAGACAGATCAGTTTGCTTTGTAGCCTGTGATGGACAGTCTGACAGAGAATGCCCAGCCTCTGCTGTAGCAGCATTTCTGCTGCCCTCTGTGTAAAATGAGAGCTCACAGGAATGTTAACATAGGACAAGCAGAAATGTCAGAACATTGCTCTGTAGCAAAACTGCTCATCCCTACAATTCTGCTAGGATGTGGTTGGACACTGAACCCTGGAGATGGTAGGAGCACATTTTCCATATTAAAAGGTTATTTATCAATTCAGTGTAGATCTGCTAAGGTGCATGCTTTCAATGTTATGTGCAGAATGTGCTCAGTCTGTATTTTTGATGTGTCATCTGGTTAGGAAATGTGCAATTAACCTAACATTTCTGATAAATGTGGCTGAAGGAATGGGCTGAGAAAATTGCTGGAAGCAGTAAATGATTTCCCAGGAAGAACTACTGAGGATCATAACTGATGAGACTTAAAACCTGCAGGTTAAAAAGCAGTGTGGGCCATCCATTCTTTACCATGGCAAATGTAAGCAAAAATTTCTGGGTCTACGTGTGAGCACTTGTGAAGACAAGCTGATGTCACAGGCTGACCATGAAGGGGCTATAATGGCCTTGTTATCGCCTGCTCCTTCTACTCTATTCAGAAACTAATTTCTGCTGATTTTAATGCAGTTGTGATTTACCTTCACTGCATGTCAAGGAAAGTGAATGCGTCTGTCCTAGGGGGAACTTTGATGACAAATTTGTGTTTCCCACAGAGTGGTATTCTTGGAAGTCCTCAGAATGAGTTAACTGAACATGAGAGGCAAATAAACCCCACAATCTGGGATTAGAGGATGAGCAGCTTTCAAATGTGCACCACAGGTGCACCATTACTTACACTCCTCCTGTCTCCACAGCTAACATCAGCGGAAGAGATCTGGGCAGTAGATTCAGGCCAAGGAGATGATACTCAGGATGCCCTTTCTATCACCCACCAAAGCAGCTGAGGGGCTCCTGTTACAGAGCAGGTGAGTGGGGTGGGCAAACTGGGAGACCACTGGGTAGAAAAAGGTAATTGAAACAGCACATAGCCGGAAGAGGAGGAAGGAAGGGCAAAGAAAAGAAACTAAGGAAGGAGCATGGTATTAACCCCTGCAGGCAATGTAGCACAACCTAAAATAAGCTGTACTTGTGAGATCAAAGGTCCATATAGCCCAACTTTCTGTCTTTGAAAGTGATGCCCAGGAAAGAGTGGCATCTTGCCTAAGGCAACATAGAGCAGCGCTTCTCTAAAACTCTTCCAACTCCCAGTAACTTCTAGTTAGGGAAGCCCTGAGCAGGACACGATGTCTGGGTGTTTAAGAGCTCATGGTGGATTTTTAACTGACAAATTTGTTCAAACACTTTTTGAACCCATGACCTGTTCTCCGAATGTATAGCATGCTACTGTGATCCTCTACTGAGGCTAACTCATAGAAAGCAAACATCCACGTATGCAGTTCAATTCACTTTGTTATTATCTTTGACTAAGTGTTACAAATACATATCTTCTTCGCACCTCATCCAAATTTTCATATGAAGTCACATATTTGAGGAAGTAAAAATAGCGATTAAACTGCAGAGAGCATCTCCCAGGTGACAAGGTAGACTATGCTATAGTTAATCTGCAGTACATATTTATACATATATATATCTTTTAGTATTTTCAAGGGAAATTTTTTTCCAAACACTAAGGCTCCTATCACTTCAGAGACTCCACCACAGCCTCCTATGTAACATTAGCAGATAGATTTCCTTGGTGGTCAGCCTAAAAGTTTCCTTAATTGCTCTCTGCATCCATCTGAGATGCCCAGGGAAGGATACAAGTCCCTGCTCCCCCTGAAGGGCAAATCAGTTGTGTAAAGCAGAACAGCTCCAGCAGGAGACAATGATGGCAATGTGTCACCAGAAACCCAGAAGCCAGGGTGCCAGAGTGCTGGTGGCCCATGTGGGACATTAGCAGCTGGGGCTTCTAATAGTGCTTGTATCCCCTGTCCTGAAGATATTCCCTGCTTACCCCACTAAAAACTACCAGGGACGGACCTTTCTCTCCATGTGGCTTGTCACAAAGTACTTGGAAAGATCTGAGTTTATCCCAAAGGAGAAGTGAACGCTGAGTCCAAAGGAGGAGGGGACGTTGTTTTACATGTCAGTCAGGACTGTGGCCTGAGAAAATGTATCCCAAATCTGCTGCAGCTCAAGACACAACACCAACTTCACCCCATCACTGCTTCGCTGAGCAACACAGGAGTATGTTGCCTTCCTTGCAAATCAGTCCCTCAGGTCTCTCAAAGTGCCTGCTGCTCCCTGAGAGGTGCCTCCAGGTGGACACTGTCTTGCAGGGTGCAAGGTCTCAGCGTAGAGCTGACTCTTGACTGCACTGCTGCCTGCCTCATATATTTGCTAAGCCTGGATTTCACCTCTTAGTGCCCCAACGTATGTATGTTGTCCGCAGTCCCATCTGTGTTGAAACTCTGAATTCAAGGGAACTAATGCATGTAGAAAGGGGAGAAAGAAAGGACCTCTTTGTAGGCCCTTTTCCTGGGTGTATGGCAGATTCATTGGTAAATTCATGGAGAATTCGGCTGTTGAATTTAATTTTATTTCCTCAAACTCTTTGTCAAGGAGTTTCTTCCTTTAATACAGAATGCTTTCAAAAAATTCTGTAACTGGAACAGTTAGCTCAGGAGATACCGATGTCCCGCTAGTCCAGGAGTTCACAGATCTGAGATCCTTTGCAGTGGGGCAGCAGTTCTGTTGGAACATAGGCACTGTATCTATTTTAAACTTTCTCTCCGAGATGGTCCTTTATGGCCACTTTGGAGCAGTGTTTTCCCCATGATCGGTTAGCGCTTGTCAGCTGACAGGCAGCCCAACTCCACAAACAGTGTGTCAATGCAAAAGGCTATCATTCTGCAGTCATGGCAATAAATATCCAAGAGGAAGGAATCTTTGGTCTCCCTCCCCTTGGTAAGCTATTTGGACCCTGGTAATTTATCACCATTTATGGCCTCCTCAAGTGAATAGTACTGTTAGTTCAGCATGAAAGAAAACCTGAGAATGTGATTTTTTTTTTTTTTCTGTAGGTTCTAGCTGTATGTGATGTATCTTGTTTAGGCTAGCACATTGCTGTAGTTCATATTGCACCACTAGAGAGGCATTTTTTTACAAGTTAAAGAATTCTGAAAAAACAGTCTCATGATAGGTCCATAAAAATAACAAGAGTTCTCATTTTGAAATGGTATGTACAGTGTTTCTTAAATTAAGGGCAAATTATTTATTTGTCAATTTTGAAAAATCAATGTTTTTCTATATCTTAGAATGTATTCCCCAAACTAACCTTGTTGTTCAGGGAAGCAAATAAACAGAACCCTAAAATGGGAACTCTTTCCAACTGGAAAAAGAAGATTTCAATAGATAAAAATCATAGTTCAGACATTAACACGTCTACACAAATTTGCTGGGTATTATGAGGCAAAGTGGGATATATGCACCTTCTCAGAAATTATAGCAACTGTTCCAGGCAGGATCCGTAGCTGACTGTGAAATGTAAACATAGAAATAGACATGGTGGTCATGACAGTTTCACTTGCAAGAAAGCTATTGATATACTTGCTGTTTTTCTGTAAAAGTGCACGTGATACCATCCATACCTAGACAGTCCTTGGGAGATGCTTGTCTAAAACAGATCCTTAAAAGCACAGGCTAAAGGAGATCACGCAATATTATAGATGTGCTGTTCTACCATACAGTTTTTCTCATTCAAGTATTTCCTTAATATTTTCTCCAAATCCTTTTTACTTCAAATTAAACTGTAATACTCCTTGCGATATAACCCTCTAAGTCTCTTAATGAAAGCCTTCTTAATTTGACAAAATTATTTTCATACTCCCACACCCGGTCTTTACTTTCCTCGTCTCTTGACTTTAAAAATGACGTTCTGTCCATACCTTTTTCTAAGTCATATTCTTTGTGCTTGTCATTCTGGCTGCTGTCCTCCTTACTCTACAGAAGGATTTTTCTTTTTTCACAAGAGTTCTACAAAATGTGCTTTATTCAAAGTACTGTAGAGTATCGCTAAGGTAACCCATTGCTGAGGAAAGCAAACATTCATACCCTGCCACCATAGAAAGAGTACTTATACTGACATTTGCAATAATTAGATATACCGTTTTTGCAACTGTTTGACATTGTTGAGGGTGTATAAACTTGTGCCCCCAACTCCTTTTCTCCCTGGCTCAGACGACAAACCCCGTGCATTTCTCTGATTTCGTCCTCCCAAGCAAACATTCATACCCTGCCACCATAGAAAGAGTACTTATACTGACATTTGCAATAATTAGATATACCGTTTTTGCAACTGTTTGACATTGTTGAGGGTGTATAAACTTGTGCCCCCAACTCCTTTTCTCCCTGGCTCAGACGACAAACCCCGTGCATTTCTCTGATTTCGTCCTCCCAAAGTACTTTGTTTCTCTTCATTAAATTTCCTTCTGCCCATTAGAGACATTTTCTCCAATTTTCCAGAGCTACTTTTAAGCCTGATCCCATTCCGCCCTGCCAAAGTGCTTGGATGCCCCCCTTCCCAAAAGACACAACACCAGTGGCTGCTTCTGTCAGCTCAGGGTCTTTTCTTTCAGCACTGGTGACCCTAACCTCTCCAGGCCTTCTTTGGCCCATTCCACCTGTCTTTGTTCTGTCCCAGTGGTGAACACATGAACCTGGCTGACCCACCTGGTTGGATTTTACCTCAGTTGGTGTGATTCGATCATAATACGTGGGCCAGGAAGTTTCAGCAGCTTTAAAAACACCCATTTTCAAGTGAGACTTAGCTACTGGTCTGTACCGGGTCAGCCACCCAGAGGAGGGTCCCCCCGATGGCTCCATGCTGCCACCCCCTGGCAATGGGTGCCTTGAGCAGTGGGCCCGGTCGGCTGCTGCCTGGCTGAGCTCCCTGTGACTGACAGGAGCCTGCTGGAGCCCTGTGACCGGTACCCCCTGCTCCCGACCCCTGGTAATAATGCCGTCATCTTTCTGCCAAGGATCCCTAAAAGAACTTGTCTGTACCTTTGGTGGCAGGTGACAAGCCCCAAGCTGAGAATAAAGCTGATGGGGCCTGTGTCCTCTGAACAACAGTGCGAGTGGCGAGGTGAAAGGCACAGCCACCGTCCCAGCTGATGTCTCCGGGCCTTGGTTTCCTCTGCCTGATTGCCTGTGGTGACTGTACCAGGCAGTGATGCCGGCTTTTCTGAGCTCTCCAAAGGGCTAGAGGAGTCAGGCTGCAGGCAGAGCTGGCTCTCCATAACCATCACGCGATAGCCACCGGCCTGGCCAGCGGTTCTCCTGCAGCCCTGATACTCCAGCGGGCCTTGAGGGATCTCTGGTGTACAGCCCTACTACCTTCCCTCAGTGAGTGCTGTGAAAGCACAGCCTGAGCAAAGGGACATGGCCTTCTGCAATGCTGCTGAACGTTGGAACAAGCCCTGCCTCTGCCTTCATCCTCACCCAGACAGGGACACAGGGGGGAGGCAGCTGTAAAATCGTGCCCTTCCAGAACTACAGCCCAGCCCGCCTTTTTCATTTGTTGGCTTACACGAGAAGGGATGGCCTCAACCACCTCAAACTGAGCCCCAGCTGACTGCTGGAAGTACCTGGGCAGCTGCTGTGTTCCCCATGGGACAGCACATCCCAGGAGGGCATGGCGAGCACCCAGGCACTGGGTTGGCACAGCGTCGTTGCACGGACTTCAAAGGGGCCACTCTTTGATTTATACTCCTGCCAGGGAGAGCACGCTCGGGCCTGCTTCTGATTTTTAACATTTCAGCTGAGAAAGGAGCTGTGCCGGAGCAAGTCTCTCTGGGGTAAGAATAGCATCTGCCGTCTTAGGACACAACACAGTTGTCCAGCTCCTACGTGGCAGCACGTTGCGCTGAGATATAGAAGGCAACCTACCCGCGGAGGAATGTCTTCGAGCGCTATTAGTGGAAGCGTATCATCTACACAACCAGGCACGACCCCGCGCAGGAGTCTTGCAAGAGCGGGGCTATTTTGAGCTTTTGACACTGAGGATGAAGGGAGACAAATGACGGGCTGATCCTCCCGGCATGGGCAACCTCCAAAGCTCTCTGCGGCCTCGTCTCCTCCTCTGGGAAATGACTCTTGTGAAGGCTGATGGGCGATTTGGTGGGACCTCGGAGCCCAGGAGGCGGGGGCCAGCAGGGAGCTGTGAATTTGCCGGGGACGCAAGGCCAGGCCTCAGTCCCATCAGCATTGCCCAGCCGTGCTTACGGCAAGTCCTGCCTGAGGGTGTGCACCTGTCCCTGAGCTTAGGGCATGCGGCTGCCTGCTTTATTTTCGAGCACATCCTTGAGAGCTAGAGAGATACCAGAGGGTATGTAACTGTGTGCAGGTGAAACACAAATCCTTTGCAGCCAGGAGGGTGTTCACCTCTTGCCACCTGAAGCTCTCTATCTCTGAGTGATTCTTTGGCATCATGGATGTTTGAGAGTCCCCTTTTCCTCTTCCCAGCCATTGCAAATCCCCTCCCTGACTTATTCCCTTTCGTTTAACATGCTCTTTCTTGATCTGGTATGGATTTCTTTCATTCCAATTTATTTTTATGTCTCATTTATTTTTATTTCTTTTTCATTTTCATTGCTTTGTGAAAACCAGATCTGCACATTAAGCTCTCTGGGGA